GTATATGTATATAGTTTCAAGAATCTTAATAAAGTACTAGCGTAACTGCTTAAGGTTTAAAAAAAAAAAAAAAAAAACCTCTCAAACAAGAAAACACGAAATGAAAAGAAGGCTATAAATATAGATGAACAAAATCGAATCATAAGGGAAGGAAAAAAGGAAAATAAGGTTCAAATCCAGAAAATATAGCTTAATTCAGTCTTTAGTTTTATAAATAGAAACATAAGACCCTTTTTTTAAGGTCTTACTGGTTAGCTTAATATAACCCCAAGCCAGGAATAACCATCTGGCCTGTGCAGCAGACCACTTCTAGGCACTTACAGAAATAACTGAAAGATGTCGAACCAAAATTTAAGCCAATTTTGTATAACTTGTATACAAGAATCTTAATAAAAATGATTGGCAAGACTGTCTAAGTTATAAAAAAAAAAAAATAATAATAATAATAATAATAATAATAATATAATTTTATAATAATAAATAAAATCAAAAAAAATTACTTCAGTTTAGATTACAGATAAACTAGTCTGAGCTCTTATTCTTGCATGTAATTTTTATTTTGTTATATACAATCTTAGTTTATTTTAGTACTTTTGTACTATAATATATGTTAAAATTATTAATAAAGATATGAGCAAGGTCTCACCTTAATACCAAAAAAATTAATCAAAATTACTAAGGAAAAATGTTTTAATCTTAATTCTAATTAATTTAATTGTTCAGAGCGTAGCGAAGAACTTTCTATATATAAGCAAGTACCAAAAAATATCCGTGTTCCGATCACGTGATATATATCCAATCAGAGGTTAAACCAATATAACAGATCGAAACGGACACACAGCATCTGTTTTCCTAGTTTAATAAATTGTAAGTAGTTAAATTTATAATTTTGACTAGTAATTAAAATTATTTAAATTCTTATATAAAAAACTTTTTATAAAAACCTTTATTTAAAGTATATACTATAAATATATTTACAATAACTTTTATATAGTATAAACAAGTTTTTTGTAAACATATTTTTTAAAAAAATAACTAGTAGAAATTCGACGGTGTAATTATATCTAACTATATATATTTGCCGATTGATATTAAACTTTAATACTTTACTATATATATTCTAGAGTACTAATAATTAGTATCACCATTAATAATATAACCAATATTAATGTTTGGAAATTTTAAACAGTTTTAACAAAAAAAAAATAGAATCAAATATACGTAGTATCGATAGGCAGTGTAGATGGTAAGCAGCCAACGATTAGTGTTAACAAGTAATAAATTATTTATATTATTATCATATAATAGTTGGCGAAGCTTATCTACGTGTAAGTACGCACCTTTACTGCATTTGATTTAAAAAAATATAAATATTTTGCACTAGTATCAGTATTTGTAATACGTACATATTTTTGATTCGCATGATACTAAGTAAACATCTTTAATAAATTATCATACAAGAAACCACTATCCTTGCTTCAGAATATAAATTCCATACGTATACAAAGAGATCATAGAAATATGATGCCAAGTCTATTTGTTGCTAAGATGTTAAGATGTGTTGCAGATAAAAAGAAAAAAAAGCTTCAAGTATACACGTGAAATTCCCCTTAGTTTGGTAATGGCTTCACGTGACACATTACATCGTTTATGATGCAATGTAAGGCTTCTTTTTTATTCAAGATAAATAAAGGACTGACCAACATAAAATTGGTTAAATAGCAAAGTAGCATTAACAAACAAGCCATGAACAATATACAATATTTCTCGCAGTTTACATAGCATTTTGTCTTTGTCAAGTTCTATACATTTTTGAAACCATTATTTTCACATAATAATGTATAATGTACTTTTGCATATGTACGTACGTACGTACGTACATGCGAATTTCTTCTTCAAATACATTTTTGGTGTTTATACGTATTATGATGGTTGTTTTTTCCTGGGTATATTGTAGGTATATTGTAGGTATATTGCAGGTATATTGTCAGTTTCTTTTGCTCTGTCCCGGTCCAATTAATATGGGTTAAAAATAAGAATATAAATAGAACAGAATCATTATCTTGGGGAATGGAGTGGAATTGCTTTAAAATCTTATTTATTACTATTATATATAATTAAGTAATCTTTTCAAAGGTACGTATGGATTCAATTATTTGTACATAGTGGTGTATAAAATTAAACATGATACATTCGTACGTACGTACGTACGTACATGCATTCTACAGCATAAATAATTGTACAATATAAAAAAAAATTAATAATAATAATGAAACTAAACAATCGGTACGAAACTTAAAAAGTGGTGAGTCCTCAATGAATTAGCATTTAAAATTACCGTTATGCGTTTCAAAATATCTAAGAAATGGACATACATTTAGTTTTCTTCACAAATAATTAAGAATTTTTGTGTACATATAATTTAGAAGAAAAACGCATTTATATTAACGTTGCGTCAATAATAGAATCTTTGTTTTAATGTGACACATACACAACCACCGGTCCTTTCCGATTTCCATAATCATATCTTTACTAAGTGACATGTCATCTTATCACCTCCCTTCATCTATAAAATCGGGGGTGACACTGGTTAAACAAGCCTGCAATTGTAAAATTCATAAATGCTAATATAATATAAAATAGTTATAATTGCTACGGATCTACATGATCAATTTACTTTAAAAGCTTTTTTTCCGACACCAAACAACGACCGTACAACGCGATCTGCGCAATACCAGCATCTTTCTCGTCAACAAGGTTATACCAAACTGGAGTAATTCCTTTATTGAGAAAATGATAAAATCTGAGACAATTATTATAGAATCATTATAAAGAAATCTTCATCTATCAAGAGAAATTTATGATTTTATATTGTCTTCTATTAAAAAAGTATTGCATTTTGATGATCCTACTGTTGTCAAAATGAGGAATAGGAAAGGAGTACAGCTGTATTGTTCAAACAAGAGTTTAAACTGTTTCAAATATCGCTAGTATGTCTAGCGCTAGTATGCGTTGTCGACATTATTGTTCATTGAGCAATTTTTAACTACGAAACGTTGCATTTTTTTCTTATTTTATTTATTTACATGTTACTTTTTTTTTTTTTTTTTTTTTATATTTATTAAAATAAACTTTATCAGGCAGTTCATTATTTGGTGATTTACAATAAATCACGTGCTTGTTTCGTCATCCTATTAAATTTCTTATTACAACCTTTCGTCGCTTCTGATTGGCAATTTGCCACAAAATTTTTATCATTTAAATACTCGATTCGATTTCATTTCCTCATTATTTTTTATTTTTAATTTTCCTTCTTGCTTGTATTTATATTATCATTTGTTTACTCAAGTCAACTTTGGCTCTATGAAGCGCAAAAACACGGACTTATCTATTGACACAAAGCAAGTTAAACACCAACGAGTTGAAGAGACCACTCCCTCTCCTGATTTCTGGCCTCCCTCTCCTATTGAATATGGGGTTAACGATCCCGTTAACTACTGGCCACCAACCCCTACTACTGAAACTGAGGACCTAAATAATGTTCCGGTATGAAAATCTTTGAATTTTATTGAATTAATTTTAAAATAAATCAATATATCATTGTCAAATGTTTGTAAATTTGTTCCTTTCGACGTCAACAATTTTTACTCTATAAACTCGTTTTGAGTTATATTAAACGCCCATGTGGCCCGTGTGAAACTTTAGATTTTCGGATAATTTGTCGGTCATTTTACCTTATATATTATCCATATATATTACCATCTTTTATATTATTTTTATTTCAATTATCATATGAATTTTTATTTTATTTTTTTTCTTGCTTAGTCTAATATTGATGATGACAAACAAGAATTATTATCAAGTGATGTTGTCGTACTCATCACCCAACCTCCTCCAGAAACTATTTCAAATTATGTAAGACCAAATGATAGAAGGTTTCGTTCTCAACTGGTTGATATGCTTCCATCTTTTATAAATTCTGAAGGAAGAGTTTTTAAAATCGGTGATCGAATAGCTTGTTATAAAGATGGTTTATTAACTGCTGCTCGAATTTTGGACATTGATGAACCATTAATCCCACATGTTGATCCTGCTTTACAAGAACGTGTATTTGTTCATTTCGAAGGTTGGGGCTCTGAACAAGCTAAAATGGTTACCCCTCTTGATATCTTGCCTTATTTTCAAAGTTCTCCCGTCTCAATTGGTCCTCTTGGAAAAGATGATTTAAAATCTTGGCAAGAATATAGATGTTTCTACCAATCAGATGAAGGTAGACTAGCACGTGAGCACACTGCTATCGTCTTTGATGAAACAATGTTATTACATGAATGTCCTTGTAGATATCGTGATAATAAATCAATTACTCATCCTGAGAATCCTGAGCGCTGTATTGAAATAATGGGTACTTTTGAGAGTCAAGGGTAATTTATTATTTTTAATAATCTTTTTATATAGTTGATTTTTTTTTTTTTATACTTATTTCTAAATTTAATTTTAAAAAAAAGTCTTTTACGAAAGGTCAAACGATTACGCTCTAGAATGGCAACAAAGGAGGAACTTGAAAGTTGTCACGTAGGTGAACATGTTGCCACGTATTTCTCATATAAAAGGATTTGTATGCCAAAGATCGAAGAAAATTCTGATGTAAAAGTCTGTGAAGAGTCCGTTACAGATATTGCTGATGTTGAAAAAAAAGATTCCGTTGGCAAAATCCAAAAATTAATAGAATGGTATCCACCAGCTCTTAAAGACGCTATGTCTTGTGGCGAATTAGGCATCTGCTGTGATACTACTTATAATCCTGCTGGAACACCAAATGCGGCTAGAATGGCTGCAGGGTCTGTTATTGAAATTGTTGGTGCTGTTGCATCCGGAAAGTATGTATTTTTTCATTTTACGATCATAAGTTTTTATATCAGAGGTTTTTAGATTAGAGGTTTTTAAATTAGAGGTTTTTAGATTAGAGGTTTTTATATTAAAGGTTTTTGGATCAGAGGTTTAACCTTTTTTACCCTTTATACTTAGAGTTGCCAATGGGTTTGCCATAATACGTCCTCCCGGACATCATGCTGAACGAAATCAAGCTATGTATGTATTTTATTATTTATATCGAGCTGAATTTTTAATTTTAATTTTTTTTGACTCCTTCTGACATTTATATGCTTATATAGGGGATTTTGTTATTTTAATAATGTCGGTGGGTATCAGCTACTCCAATATTTAACAGAATAAAAACAAATTGTTAAGTAACAATCTAACATAATCAATCTTATGTCATATTGTTAATAGGTATTGCAGCAAACATGGTTTTGAAAAATTATCCTAATCACGTTAAAAAAATTCTTATTGTCGATTGGTAAGATTTATTTCATTTTAATCATTTGTTATAATTTGTGTGATAATGATCATTATCATTTTGACTAATATATTTTTTTTAACGCTAAAAACAGGGACATTCAGTAAGTGGATATAAATTTGTCATTAATATAATTGTTCTATAATATTATTCTTATTCATTGACTTTTTTTATCGATTAGTCATGGAAACGGCACACAAGACATGTTTTACGACCGTGATGATGTACTGTATTTGTCGTTGCACCGTTGGGATAATGGTAACTTTTATCCTTACTCTGGTTCGCCCTCTGACCTTGGTTCTGGCGTCGGACTAGGTAAAAACGTTAATATTACTTTTTCTTCTGAAGATGATAGTGAGTATTTAATTTGAATCATTTGAATTATAGTTAATTGATTTGTTTCAACGTATAAATATATATAAATATGTATAAATTATGCTTAATGCTACTTTAATTTAGAACTTGATGCGATGGGTGATACTGAGTATGTCGCCGCATTCAAGCATATCGTGATGCCTATTGCCATACAATATAACCCTGACCTGGTTATTGTGTCTGCTGGTTTTGACGCTGCCGAAGGTCACGATGATTTTGTAAGTATTAAATATTAAATTGAATATATATCTGCATCTATGGGATAAGTCAACAGAAAAATGGCAAATTTTTTAAAGTAAAAAATTTTTAAACTTTAAATTAAAATATTTCAATAACTACTAAACCAAATTTATCTAAATTTGATAAATTTTATTTGGTAGTTGTTGATATATTTTAATTTAAATTTTTTTAAAAAATGTATATATTAAAAAATGCTTGCCTTTTTTCTATTGACCTACCCCATATACCATACCGATCAGATATTTCTTTTGAAATTCATCACTAATCAAGACGTTTACAAGATTGGCGGTTATAAAATTACTCCTAGAGGTAAAATTCAAAATTTTAAAATGCTGAGTTAAATAATGAGTTTTTTTTATAAATAAATACATTGATTAATAATACTTTTTTATAATTTATGTTTATATTTAATAATATATTTAATATATTTAATTTATATTAGGTTATGCATTCATGACACAGATGCTTAAAACTTTGGCTAACGGGAAGATTGTTCTTGCTCTTGAAGGTTTTAATTATTAATTTTTAGAGTTAATTATATTTGTTGTTATTATATTATATATTGGTTTATATATGAAAATTTTTCTTGTAATCCTAGGTGGATATGTTTTAGAACCATTATCAGCATCTGCTACCGCCTGTTTGTCAGCCCTACTTGGTCCTGAACTGTCACCCTTGGAGCAATATCAATTGATTGGTGGTTTAAATTCAGTAAAACCAAATTCGGTCCGTCTTTATATGAATAATAAAAGTTGGTCTTCATCGATCGACTAATTGTATTTTAATTAATTCAATAGGCTGCTGTTTCTTCATTTCAAAAAGTTGTAGCCACGCTAAAACCATATTGGAAGTTCTCGGAAGAAGTCATGCGTGATGACTTTCGATTTTCATTACCAAGCGAATGGCGTGCAGTAAATAGCTTATCAACGAGACCAAAACGTGCACCAAAACCAAAACGCAGAATGCCCGTTGAAGGATAATTTTATTTATATATTCATACGGTTATGCGATAAAAAAAAAACTATTTTTTATGGAACATTGGACTTTCCTCTCGAATAACTTTTGATACTTTACTGGTGGGACGTAGGTTGAAGATGTTTTATAGATTTAAAATAGAAGATACCTAATAACACAACCGACATTTATTTGTATGTACGATTGGCACACCCAATTTTTCACGCAAAGCCCGAAAATCTTATGCATACAATGTACAGTACTAGCATATATATATACATAGATTTCTTCATTCTGGCATTTATCTCAACTAGAGTTTAGAACCGGGTTATAGTAAACTGGGTCACCCGTGTCAAAACGGTCCAACCGGGTCAAAAATTTACAACTCGGGTCAAACCGGTTGAATATGTAACCTTTAGAATCTGTTATTACAGTGCATGATATCTAAAAACTAAAATAATTTCAAAAGCCTAATAGCTTATAATATAGAAAAGATATAAAAAAAGAAAGCCACCTAATTGTAGCCTAGTTATTTTACTACAATTTAAGGTTTTATTTTTACAAATAATAATTATTTAATTTATCCTTTAATTTGTAGGTTTTTTAGACAAATTTGTCTAAAAATTTATTAAAAATATGTTTATGTTTTATTTTTTTTTAAAAATTTAAAATATTTAAATGAAATTTTATTTGATAATATTTAAAAATAAGAATTGTATTATAATTTTATATTATAAGAAAAAGTATAAGTTATTTATAAGTTAAAATAAACAAGTTTAAAGAATTTTTTTAGTTAAAAAACTATTTATTTTTAATAAATTTTTTTAAGTTACAATTTTTAATATAAAATTATAATTTATATATAAAAAATTATAAGTGTTGCTAATTTTTAACCTAGGTAATGTCATTTTTTTATATATAAAGCCAATTAAATTACAGGATCTTATATAATAAAAATAAAAAAAATTTTTTTAAAAAAATTGCAAATATTTTAAAATTTTATTATAAAAACTCTTTGAGCTATTAAGTAAAAGTTTTTAATATACAATTTTGAATATATGTAATCTTATAACTCTAATTCTAATACAACTTTAAACTTTAATTTTAACTATTAAAAGTTTATTTTATTTATTAATTTTAATAATTTTATACTATAAGTAATGTTATATAAAAATTATTTTTATATTTCTTTGTGTAATTCTAACATTGTGCAGATGTCTCATGACCTGCCAATTATCTGGTGTAATCATATTACAGGTACCAATTTCAACTGATCAACAGAATGTCATCGTCATAATACTGTCTATATATTACATAAGTAATTATCTAAATTTTTACTATCAGTGGAATTTGAACTCATTACCTACTATTTGAAAGGTTGACAACTTATTCACTATACTAAGTTGTCACACCTTTTATATTATTATAATGTTTAATTTTATATTATAAGAAAAAAAATATTGTAATAGAATTTTTTTTTTCTATATTAATATATATTTATTTTTAGCTCTATATTATATTTTATATTTTTCTTAATATTTTTATATAGTTTATAGATGATTTTATTAGTTTTAATCATCTACTTAATAGGTTAATATTTATTTTATTAGTAGATTTCTTATAGTATTTTATTTTAGCTAATAGTTGTTGAAATATCTAA